CATTCCTGGATCAGAGCCAGCATCATATGAGGACATAAAGGGCATTACTATCCAAAGATCAAAACTTGCGAAGTGGTGTATGGAACCACTCTGAGAATTTAATTGTTGGTTGCTTTGTGAGAATTGTAATTGGGAAGTCAACAACTGGGCCCGTCTACAGGCTTTGCATGATTCAGAATGTTGATTCATCACATCCTAACCTTCAGTATAGCTTAGAGGTGAAAAACACACACAAGTATCTAATTTGTTATTGGGGTAATGTAAGTTCTTTGACCAAATGGCAGATGGCTATGTTTTCGGATTCTGCTCCAAAGAAAGAGGAGTTTGATCAGTTGGTTAGAGATATGAAACGTAGCGGAGGACGAATGCCACACAAACAACAGGTGTTAGACTAGATAGTGACCTTACAAAAAGCCCACAAATATGTATACTCCGCAACCACCGTGAAGCAAATGTTGTTGCAGAAAAAGCATGCCCTGTCAAGGCCATTGAACAGTGCGGTTGAGAAGGACTGGTTAAAGAGACAGTTGGAAGTCGCAGAAAGCAAATGTGATAAGGCAGAAAGTAAAGAGGATCAAGACAAGGCTGCAGGAATTGGAAGCGTCACAGAAAGCCCAAGAGAGAGATGCCAAGGCCATCAGACTAGCTGAGATGAACAAGAAAAACAGGGCTGAAAATTTAAAAAATGCCTCGGAACTGAGACCAGTGAACATGAGTTTGAAAGCTGGGGATGCTGGGTACGATCCCTTTTCAAGGAGATGGACGAGATCAAGAAATTACTACGTCGCAAAGGCTGTTGATCAGAATGAGGCCGTGGAAGGTGCTGCTGACAAAGACACAGCAGCAGCCTTGGAAGCTGCAGCAGATGCGGGAAAGTTGGTTGATACCAGTGCTCCTATGGATCGAGGGACAAAGTCAAACATGCTACACAACTTTGAGCTACCAATATCCTTGGCCACGCTTCAGAAGTTTGGTGGACCCCAGGGTGCTCAGCTTGGATACTTGGCTGGATAGAAGCAACAATTGGCTGCAGAGTTTTAGAGGATGATGGAAGGAAACATGCTCAAACATTGACTGTTAGCGACTACAAGAGAACAAGAGGACTGCTCTGAATGTAATGCTTGGGTTAATTATTACCAATATTTTTAATTTGTTAGGTTGAGCTTGTATTAGAGAAAAGGCCAGTTGTTTGAGATTAGCTTTCACTAGTTTATCTAGTTATCTATCCTACTAAGTGTTCTTTACTCTCTCTTGTACATGGTTTTCGTTGTTCTGGCAGAACTCTAAGGAATCGTTTTGTTCTAGGGTTGTTATATGTTTTTCAAACGTATAAAATATTTTCAGAATCTATTAAGGGTACTTTTTCTTTTTCTCCATTTTTTTGTTAGGGTAAATTAAAATAAAATTTTTAAATTCAAAGTATATTTTTGTAGTTTCCAAAATTAGAAAGATAAATTGCCAAAAAAAAAAAAATAGAGGTATGTTTGAATAATTGACCCAAAAGAAAAAGTCATCCTTCAACATTTTGAGGCAAGTTTAAATTAACTACATATGCATTTATTGTCATATAATTTACAGATTCAGATGTTAGGCCACTAGTTGTATTGGAGTACATTCTGAGGTAATACCAATAAGTTTATGTGTCAGCACCGATCAACTAAACGTGATCGGATAGCAAAAGGAATTATTCTAATACAAAACGTGTAAAAGAAATGTCCATACCAAATAAAGTTGAAAAGTGCTCTTTCTGAAATCTTTTCAGAACCTACACTTTTAACTTGTCGTAGCTGTACAGTATAAAGGCATTCTGCCTTTAAAAGTAGAAGAATACCATAAGCCATATAGCACCATTGTTGATGTGGGGAACTAATATGACCCTGCACACATGGTGCCAAAATGCAGTGATCTTGAAAGAATTGGAGACCCATCAAACAAGAATCTGAGATCTTGCAGCACCTCGGGAGCACTTTTTCCGCCCAGTCTTGCTAAGTGCGCAGACACAGATCTCGAGAAGCTCGTAATCCTCGTCCCAGAATAATAAAGACGCCATCTCTGGATTCTCCAGGAACATCTTTGATGTAAGGTACCCAGCAATGGTCCATGTTTGGTAATGTCGAGATTGTTTTCCAATAAACTTCCCTGTTCTGGTGTCATAGTACTCCGGCCAATGGTCTTTTGCAAGCCGCTTCTCAGCCAAAGCAACTGCTTTTCGAGCTAGTTCTAGTTTTCCCATCTTGATACACGCCAACGTGAACTACAAAACAACGGTTATGGTGTTTTATTGAGTTAGGCTAGATCATAAGTTCGAAAAGAAGGACCGGTTTATACTTGCAAGATAACAATAACAACAATAACAATAATAATAATAATAATAATAATAATGATAATAATAATAATAAGATAAAAAATAACTTTCGAAAGGCAAATGGTTGTATAACGGATAGCAAACAAAAGCCAATGTTTCAGGAAAGGCATCTTGAAATCTTGACATCAAAGTTCTTAAGCTCCATAAGTGTAAAGCTTTATCAAAACATAAATGGTTAACTGAATCCGGGCATACCTGCCACAGAAGTGTCGGCCAAGACCCGCCATTGTGATACGACCAAGGACTGTAAGAGACAAGTATCTTTTAGAGGTTGTGAACAAAGGCAAAAACAATGAGGTATTTCTAGCTGCATGCAAAAAGTCGGCATAGTAAATGCAACAGACCAGAACAACGATGTAAACTTACGTATTTTTCGGGTCACTGCCGGTTATTATATGCCACTCCTCAGATTCCAAGGCGGGATAACAAATCTTTAGTGGCATGTGGCCCACAAGATCATCCCATTTTGCTTCAATCAGATTTAGTATAGCTTCATTCTGCCTCGGAGTACCTAAAGATGAAACAATAGACCATAGATTTCCAAGTGTGAAAAATCTGAAATCCATGTGAGCTGGTTGTAGATTGCCAATGAGATACCCGCCTTCCTCGGGGATCCAATCCATTAGCCATGAAGGAATTTGTTCAGGGTAGATATTGAACTTGTTGGTAGCATCCAAAGAATACTCTTCGGTCTTGTATCGATAGATCTCATTGATCTTCTTCATATCCACCCAATAATATTCTCTGATGTGGAATGACAAAGCACTGAGCCTGTTGTTGATGGCTCTCACTAAATTCTTGGATCCATCATTTACAGAAAGCATCTCACGGGAGCATCGCAGAGCCGAGTAAAATAAGGCCTGAAAGAAGTCGTCAAGGACAAGATAAGCCAAAGGTGAGGCAATAATTGGGCAATGAGTCTCTACAACTACTATAATAATAACAAAGCCAGGAATGTCGAACATGAAATTCATTCGTAATAAGAAAAGCTAAATCGGTCGTTACTGGTCTATAGTTGAACAGTCAAGGACAAAATCAAACGTATGGAACTCACTTGGATTTCAAGTGGGTGGCCATGAATACCCATACGTCGGTCTATCATGCAGGAGCCATCGGTGACTAACAGAGAAGGAAACATATCAAAACCATCAGTCAAGCACAAGTTCAGGATCATTTTCAACCCTGTTTGGACGTCAACCCTTTCTTGTAAAGCATAGTCACCAGTGATCTTTCCATAAGCCCTCAATAGAATAATCCACCATAACCCTGTCAAGGAAGTCAAAGAAACAGATTAATCAAAACACGTACAATGGCATATACAGAGGATATGCATAAAAACAACCTTCAGTATAGTTTTATGGGTACGTATATACTGAGTTCTGTTAGACCAACCTGAATCTACGGGAGCAACACGGCCAATAGCAGATTCACCAAAATCTGGATCAAGAACTTCTTCTAACTTATTTTCATCGAGTGGCACAGTTCTAACTTTAAAACTTGCAGGCATCAAGCCCTGCCCTGGGCTGTAGCAATCTACCGTTTTCTCCCAACTCTGTAAAAGGCGAGAAAGCAATAAGAACTTTAGGCATTGTAAAAATATCTTTGTTCCAGATTCCAGACAGCATATAGGGATCAGCACAAATAATTAAGTACCAAAATAGACATGCTAAAAGATTATGCTAAAAAAACATGGAAACAGTGAATAGGACCACTATTCACGAGGAAACGTACAATACATCATTCACAAGGAAAAGTGCGTTAAAGTTCTCTGAACACCCCTAACAAAGAAGTTTGTTGCCCATTCTTACCATAGAAAGATCGTTATTTTAGAATTTTTAGTTATTAAAACCACACAGGAAGCATTATACTAGTTCATCTTCAGTAAAAAAAAATGGTCAATGGTATTAAAAAAAAAAAAACATTATTTTAGGTTAGTTCACTGCCCGTTAGCAATATGGAAAAAGCGATACTTCCTTTGCCTCAACTGCCTAGCTTTGTCAGTGCAAAACCGACAAAGTATAAATAAAAAATGGTTACCTAACACGTAAACGATTATCTAAGAAAACGACAACTAGTAATTGAAATAAGACATGCAACTTATGTATATAAAGCACGATACAGAAAACAAAATATGACGATTAAGTGGACATGAGATAATACCTGTAACTGCAAGGTATGAAGGAGGAAGTTCCTCACAATCTCTCCTTCCCCCTTAAGCAAGAAAGCGAGCGCTGAAGGAACAAAATCGCGAATAAAGACCTGGTCATAGTTCAAAGGCAGCTTGTCACCAGGATCATTTGCAGCCACAGTTCCCACAGGACTCCCACAATACGTCACGACCGCATTCTGCAACAACCTCCACGCCTCCTTCTCTATCTCGGATTCCTCCCTCTTCGGACTCTCAATGCAGATTTCATTTAATCCCTCCTTTTCACCACCAACTTCTACTTCCCCTCCCACTATGTTCTCTTCCTTATCGATTCTCTCCAGCACCAAAGGCTTCACATTCATACCACCCTGAACATATATCCTCTCAAAGTTGTTCTCATTCACGCGGGTTTCAACTGAAGTCGAGAGATTTCGAAAATCCGAGGCTACATTAGTAATAAGAGAAACCCCCCTAGTTGTGGTGCCAACATTACAAGGCCTTGATATGACTCCAGATTGACCAAAACTCCAACTGGGTACACGAAAAGCCTTATGGGTTTCGGCGAAAACTCGGCGAAACCCTGATAATCGAAAGGGGCCGGCATGGAATTGGCAGCTATGGTCAAGATTAAGGCACATCTTGGTTGAATTTCTATTGAAAGCAAAACCATGGAGGCATTTTGCAGGCGGGAACCCCAAAAACGCCGAGTTTCTACAACTAAATACGATTCTGCAAGTGGGTTTTATCGTCGAATTCCCTAGAAAACTAACGGAATTCATAGCGGAAAGAAAGGAAAACGATTGACCAAGAAAATCGAATCTGAAAACAATATATACAGGTATATTATACAGTCTTCTTCAAAAGTTTATTTCTGAGAATTAGAAATGCTAATATGGACCAAGAATTGAAATTTGACGAACTTACAGAGAGAAAAGGAGGCAGAAAGTCAGGGGTGGTTGGTGATAATCTTGAGGCAAGATAATTTACAGAACGGAAAGGAAATGTTTTGTCTGAATAAAAAATTGGAAAAGCAAAGCAAAGAATGGCTAGAAAAGTTGGGAGATGCGTTATATAGAGAGGCGGTGAGAAAGGAAAGGGACTGTCTTGGAATTTCGAAAACAATATGTTTTTTTTTTTTTTTTTTTTTTTTAATAAAAAGGGAAGGAAATTTTTTTGAAGGGAAAAATGAAGGAAAGGGTATTTCATGCTTGGACAGAGAGAAATTTTTAAGGAAGCGCTTAATTGTTTTTTTTTTTGGCACTTAATTGTTGTTTCAATGAATCTTGTTTTTTTTTTTTTTTAAAACTAGAAAAATGAAAGAAATTTATGGGCTCATGCTTGTACAAAAAGAAATTTTCAAGGAAACATTTAGGCCTCGTTAATTTCACCAATTTGAGTTTTCAGTTTTAGGTTTTTACAGTAAAAAAGTTCTCAGAAAATGTCACATCTAACTTCTTCTGCTACAGTAAAAAGTTCTCATAAAATATTACATCTCAGCTCAAATTAAAAATTCAAATCTGTGAAGTGAACGAGGCCTTAATTGTTGTGTCAATTATTAAATTAATTTTTCAACAGATTTACAATCCATGATACTCATATGCTCACATATTAAATTGTTGAAAAACGAACTATTAAAGTACTAGTGTTAAAATAACCGTTCTACCATAAATGTCTCTAATTTCTAGTTATACTTTTTTTCTTAGGAAATTTCCTAATATAATCCAATTAGAATATACAAAAATATGAAGAAACTTTTGTAGGGGTAATCTGATTTCAATTATTATTTTCTAGGGAAGCAATTTCAATTAGTGGAACAATGATGAAATCACCATCATTATTACTTTTTTTATGGATCACTTGCTATTATGAAGATAAAAATTTTTAGTTTTGTAAAGGAAAAAAAAAAAACATGTAATTGCATAACTAATAAAGAATTTAAATAATTGTACAATTGAAGAGTGAACACCACATATTCCAATAAATTATATCTTAGCATAAACCAAATAGATCCATGCATGCAATAAAAAAGTCCTCTACCACCATACTTTATTTCTACTTCACAAAGCCACAAATAAAATGAATGAAATGAAGAAAAATTTATCTTCAAAAGAAAACGGAGCAAAGTGATATTCTTTAATCATAAGGTACTAGTTAGTACACTTTGATGTTTCATTTTTCTGTTTAAGTCTATATTTAATATTTCTATGATAATTTGTCAAAGATACTTAACTAGATTTGCTCAACGGAAAGAGAGGTTGAAAGAAAGAATTAGTGCCGTAGATTGGTTTCTGTTTCATTTTTCCACGAAATAATTGTAAGGCACAGGTTAGGCAAACGTGGCACACGCCTCAAATTTTCATTGGGTAGAATGCAAAATCTTTTTTTTTTTCTTTTGCTGAACAGAAACTTTATTTTTACCTTCTATATTTTACATATTTTCTTGTGGATATAAGTTTTTCAAGGACACCTGCAAGATCAACATGTAAATTGCACGTGAAAATAAAGGCCTTTGAAGGTCTAACAAATAACAACAGAAAATTTTTCTGATTTTTCCTATATTTTTAAAACACTAGTATTCTTTATTTAATAACTATCAAATTTATATTATTTTTTTAATCTAATTTAATTTTTAATAAAATTTAATATAGAACAGACAACTAATAAATACAAAACACCGATATTTTCGTTTAAAAAAACACCCAAAAAAAGTTCATACTAATATTGTTATTGTCCTAAAAAACCAATATTGTCCCCTAAAAAATATATATATATATATAACAATATCGGCACCAGGTCAGTTTAGATAAAAGAGAGAGATGTGGTGATGTGTTTAGGGAATTCTATCCACTACTTTTCGTGCCCCAATGTAATTTTACAAAACCTCAAGCTCTTTCAGCCACTAATATCATGCAACGTGGCAAATTCTACTTTTAGAGTACGCACATTTTTTTGGGGTAAAAAACCTTCTGTTTCAGAATTAATTTAAATGATTTTATTTTTAATTAAAAGTAAAAATGAAATTATTTTAAAAATCATTCTGAGATTAATTTTAAAATTATATTTAATTAAATTTTAAAAAAATTATTTTAAATATAATAAAAAAATAAAATCGTGTTTATTATTTAATATATTATAATATTATTAATAAGCATTAAGAAATACAAACAAAAAAATGAAAATAATTTTTAAATAATTTTTAATTCTTTCACAAAAATTATTATCATTTTAAATATTTACTAAATAAATGTCATTTTATTTTATTTTTTATTTTTTATTTTTTAAAATATATTTAAAAAAAACAGTTTCAAACACGCACGCCATTTTTCCCACACTAATATGGTCCTTTTTACAAAAAAATTTTTGTTTGGTTTCTCACTGTTCTTGTCACGGTCCTTTTTACAAAAAAATTTTTGTTTGGTTTCTCACTGTTCTTGTCACAAACCAATTGGAGAAAAGTCGCCTGCTAAGCTCTTACGTGGAAAAAAGTGCAAAAGGAGGAAATTGAAGCCAATCATATTTAAGGTCTTATCCAGAAAAGTGCGCTTGTTGGCAATGCCAAAATGATGGTTAAACCACATCCACTACTAAAAATTGCACTTTTGGCTTTATGACCAAATAAAACATCACAATATTGAGCAAATGATGGTTAGACACCCAAAGGATTTGTTTGAGAATTTTAGAATTTTTTTTTTATTTTTTTTTGCTGAATAAGAGAATTTTGGATTATATGTACATGTAATGATGGTTAGACACCCAAAGGATTTGTTTGAGAATTTTAGAATTTTTTATTTTTATTTTTTTTTGCTGAGTAAGAGAATTTTGGATTATATGTACATGCCATGTGTCATGAACCTATTAAACTTGTGGTTCATTGGCCATGGATAGGATTTTGCTGGCTAAAACCAGATTTTAGGTGACTTGGGCCATTTGGTCACAATGATAGTTGGGCTGGGCCGACAAGTCTCAGAGGCCCGTTAACTATCCTTTTTTTTTTTTTTTTTTTTAAAAAAAAAAATTAATGTTCTTTGTTGTCATTGGAACAGAAGAGAAGATGAGGGTCAGGTAATGTAATCTAAGTGGGAGCTACTTTAATGAAAGGCTGAGGATTTAGTGAGTATACAGAGAGAAAGAGAATCATGGCAAGGTTGGTGGTGGTAGATCATCAGCAGAACAAACACCCTACTTTTTCCTCTTCCATTTCCCACCTTTCTTTTCTCTCTCACTCCAATGCCTCTAGAATCCACTCTCAAGTTCAGGTTCTTTCTCTCTCTCTCTCTCTCTTTTCCTCTTCCAACGTATTGTTGTTTGTTGATTTTGTTTCTCAACTGTCTACAAACTAGAATTGCTTTTTCTTAGCTTCTCTAACCAATTTTGTAAGACTACTGTGTTTTAAATTGCCGGTCTATGAAAAGTTTTTTTTTTTTTTTTTTTTTGAAAAATTTTTTTTTTTTTTTTTTTTTTTTTTTTTTTTTTGCGTCATATTGTCAGAAACTCCTATTAGCTAATGGATGTCTGATGAGTTACAATTTTTATGTTTTGTCTAATAGCAAGGAGTTTACCTTACTGTAATGCATATTTCTAAATGTTAGATTCTATTAAAGTCACATCAAAACGAAAAATGTATTCACTTATATATATATATATATATAACGGTTCAAAATGGAGCCTTACTATTCATGTCCTACCCTAAGAATCTCAGAAAAGAAGGCATTCTTGATTCCACAATTTTCAGTCTTTGAGGATCTCTCTATTGATCTTTCATGAGATGTTTACGACAGGGTATCTACTCTATCAGTAGGGTTCTGTTTTAAAGCGTCACTCTGTATAAAGTTTTGTTAGCATTGCATTTTTTTAACGTGATTTTGAAAAAATTCGACGTTCAGAAACATACAACAGGTAAGGCATACCCAAAGCTCCATCTGCTTGATCATTGTTCAAGTTTTTAACCTCACCTCACCTGTATGTGGTTGCAGTATAAGAAAAAGGTATGGAAACCAAAAGGAGAATTAGATGTTACAGTTTCAAGGCAGCATCCGGTACTCTTTCTTTTAGTAGCTTTCTATGTGAATAACAATGAAAGAGTTAATGATAAAACTACACCCAATGGCCTACAATTCTAATATATAATCAGACTAAAGCTTTTGCAGTGCCTAGGAGGAATGCATTGGCCTTGATCTTGTCAGGTTACTTCTTCTCAGAAGTTGGGTTCCACAATATTGCATTTGCTGAACAATCTATTGGCCTCAGGGAATACATAGACACTTTTGATGGCTATTCCTTTAAGTATCCCCAGAATTGGATTCAAGTGCGAGGCGCGGGAGCGGATATATTTTTCAGAGATCCTTATGTTCTTGATGAAAATCTCTCTGTGGAATTGTCCTCTCCTTCATCCTCCAGATACAAGAGTGTTGAAGACTTGGGTCCGCCAAAAGAAGCTGCAAAGAAAGTACTTAAGCAGTATCTGACAGAGTTTATGTCTACAAGACTCGGCGTTAGACGCGAATCTAACATTCTTTCTACCTCATCAAAAACTGCTGAAGACGGGAGGCTCTATTACCACGTTGAGGTACCATATAGTTTTTATTTTTATTTTTTTATGTTTGAAAGCTCAATTACGTGGGTTAGATAACTTGGTCAAGATAAAGACAATCCTGCCAAATTGTCTCAAAAGAATTGGGATTAAGTACATTTAGGTTTCCTCTGGTTTACAGAAAATGTACCATTCAAGGAAAAAGATGTTATCATTCTCATGGAAACTTGTAATCTGTAGAAACACAAAGAGTAGTGCAAGGGATCCTACTTTAATCCCAAATTTTTTGATACCAACTTGCGTGGCAGTTAGTTATTGTCATTTTCATTAATAGATGAAATCTTTTCATATTAATTGACGTGATAATTTTTTAAACACACTCACAAGACATCAGTTGGAATAAAACTTGGGGTCCCTAATATTAGTCAAAGGTGAAACACGAATGACAATGCATGTACCAACCTGTTACCCTTCTGAGAATTCTCACGTTAAGGGCATGTCTTCATCAACTGTTTTTTGACGTTTTATTCACCAGGTAAACATTAAATCATATGCAAACAACAATGAGCTAGCAGTTATGCCACAAGACCGAATACCTCGACTCGAATGGAATAGGAGGTACCTTTCTGTTCTGGGGGTTGAAAACAATCGTTTGTATGAGTTGAGACTGCAAACACCTGAAAATGTTTTCGAAGAAGCAGAGAATGATCTCCGCCAAGTTATGGATTCCTTTAGAGTGAACAAGGTGGCTGCTTAAACCATATGGTTTTCAAAGACCTTGTAATCTTCTTTGAATGCCATTTTCCCATTATAAATGTAGCCCAATTGATTCTTGAATGATGTGCATTCTTTAATGAGTTTTTCCACCTGGTTCAGCTTCTTGTCAATGTTTGGCTGCCAAATACAAAATTGGTTTTGTTCAAGTTATGCACTAATGACAAAACGTAAACTGTCTTTCTGAATGAAAAAACTGGATTAGAAATGATGTATCAAGCAAGAGGAAGAAACCAACTATTTCTGTAAGCTTCACGTTCCAAACAAATATAACAAATTGCTGAGATTTTACACCATGATAATGAAAATTCTAGCTGCAGTCTCTAAATACATTTAGCTTCTTTCTTTTTTGCCTCGACAACAGAATACCAATTCACCTCTAAACAAAAAGCGCTTTGAACAACAAACAAATAGAATTCCCGCTTAATAAGAGAAAAAACAAAATGCACTATTTGTGGTGACATTCCCACATGACAACAAATCTTCGATCCAAGCATCATCAGAAAAATGAAGCTCATGTCAATGAATTATGCTCGGACTTCAAATTCTCCGGCACGTGTGAGGGCCCGGAAACCTTTGTAAGGTTTATTAGGTAGATTCTTTATATCCAATTTGTCTATTTTGACACCAGAAAGGGCGATGCCCATAATCCTAAAACCCACTTCAAAAGTGGGAAATACATGCAGCCGCTCTAATCCTGTCTCAAGCACTAGCGTTCCAGACATTGAAGGGGTTTTATCTTTCGGAATCCGGCCAATTGACCAAGAACACTTCTGCATTAATGATAGATTTCTTAAATCAAAGCTCCGGCAAAAACATTGATGTCTTATCAGAAATGAGCATTAGTGAAAACTGTAAAGAAGACTGCAATATGAGTACCTTACTAGAAAGGATGTTCACTGATCCACAATTCGAGGAGAGATCAGCTGATAAAACGCAAGGAGGCAGTTGAAAATCCAGAGTTACTGAGTCAATGATTTTGCCTGGATCGTTTCGTATTCCAACCAACACACTAATACGACATGTCCCAGCATCTGAAGTCAGCTGAGGCTTTACATATATTGGAGTGCTCTTCAGCTTTCTAACCCTATGTGGATGCAAAAGAATATTATGATGTCATACACATATATTCATGCTTTTTTAATCACTATTTTTTAAGGAAAAAGGAGGCTACATGGAATCCACATTGTAATTTTATTTTTTTTTTGGTAAATAAATCCACAAGATAGTTGTCTACCGAATACAACACACCTATAACTCATTAGCTTAAACTGTCCATCAGGAGGCACAAATGATAGAATCTGATCAGATTCCCATGGGCGAAACCGAACACATGGATGGAACCTTACATCATCAAGAATAGAAGGGTTTGCAAAGGACAGAGTCAGGTCAGGAAGACCGGAAAGATGAGAATTTACTTGAACTTCACCGTATATCTCACACTTCACCAGGATCCCATCCCTACAGCATTCAAACCCAGAAAATATGATTGAAGTATAATACTAAGCTATATAATCAAAGAAACCAGTGAAATGCTAATTTATGCACACTTATTGCTTTCCTTGACTTAATCTGTTCTAGAAACTTTGTATGAACTAAGCAAATAGATTACGTCAGATTTCACATAAGGAAAGCTTTTCTAATTCAACAGCATAATAAAAAGAAGAGAAAAGAAAAAACAACAGTAAGAAGAATAAAAGGAGAAATGATGCCAATAATACAACTAAAAATGGAGTCTCAAACCTCACTCAATCGAATCTCAATTCTCATAAAAGTTACATAAACTTTAAATCATCTATGAAGGTCTAAATGGCTAAACTAAACACCAACAGAATCATCGCACATGAAAAACTGACGTTTGAAGCAAATTTGAACATAGACCTGTTTATAATTGCATCCATCTCTTCAACAAGATCAACATATACTTCATTGTTAGCATATTTCGTGTCTGTAGTTCTCCAAGGAACACAAGATGCTGTTGCACCTGGGAGTGTGTCACTCACATTGGAACTGTTACCCGTCACAACACTCAACACCTTGCTAACAATATTTGGTGGAGCAATCATCTCTCTCAGGATGTTAGGTTCTGTAGTGAGAGGGAAGCCATTGTCTATCATCTCATCCAGAAGCTAAGCATCAAAATTAAACGGGTGGTTATTTTCACTCCAAGCATGACTTAAGCAACAAAAAACCTTTAAACATCCATGTGAAAATTAAAATGTGGCCATAATGAGACAACACAACATGACGGCATAGTCAGCGGAACAGGAAACCAAATTCTTCCATTTCCTTTTTTATTTTCATGCAAGTCAAAGTGACAGAGAAAAGAGAGAATAAATTTCTTATGCAAAACCACGACTGTGAATGGTAAAATCTGTCCACCTTCACACATGTTCGAGGAGAAAATTATGCTCAGCAATCACCGATAATAAATTTGTTATAACCAGCACAAGGGTTTGCTCATATACCTCGTATACGATGACAAAGTTATCCTTTATCACATCTTCATTAAGGCCTCCTAGGTAATCAGAGAGGACATCAGCTACCCTGCACAGGAACTATACATCAAACGGTTTAATCTCAGGCATTTCAATCATCTTATAGCACATACATGATAAGGAAGGACAATGAAATGGTAAAGCACATGCTGCTAAAACTTACCTCAATAGCCATCAGAGGTGGCATCTCAACTTGGCTACACGCCAAAAATGTGATCCCCTCTCGAAGAACTTGGAAAAGATAATGTGTTGGTGAAGCAATTACTGGTTGTAACTATTAGAAAAAAGAAAAAATAAATGAGTACACATGAGAAGAACACAACATAGCTCTAGTAGTCGAATAATAGAGTGAACTGAAGTATAAAATGAAAATCCAGATTAAACCTTCACCAAGCAAAATGATTCCATATGGATAACAACTATAGTAGTAACTTTTTCTATACAGTATTTTATAATTAGTACTGATTTTGCCTATTTTCTTCCATGTCAGTCGTCCTCACAAGTAATTATAGAATATACTATTCATAACTACTATAATTACTATGGGAATCCCAAAAAAACAGTGTTATTCTTGAAAGACTTCATTACTGCTATAAAAAAATAGCCCAACCATAGATATAAGAAGCCAAGAGTTGAAATTGGAAGTAAACTTTTCACTTACACACAGAACCCAGAACCCAATTATGAAAAATCAATAAACTCGAACTTGAATTATGAATGAAAATAATTCGAGGAACCCAGAAACAAACAATCAAAAATGAAGGTAAAAAGTCTATACTTGCATCAACAAAAAAAGAAAAATAAAACAAATAATAAAAGTTTGCAGAGGAACCTTGGAGGAATCAGCTTGAGAAAGGGCGTGTTCCCAAAACCAAGCACAGATGGAGCGGTCTACGCGGTGCCCAGTGAGCTGTTTCTCAAGCATAACTTCTCTGTGAAAATCCAAACAAAAACAATTCATAAACAGCTTCTTCTTCTTCTAAGGAAGAGATCTCAAAAGATGATTACATAATTTTTTATTGCCATTAATTAGAACCCAAATCTTTATTTGGAATATGGAATCCTTGGTGATGATGAAATATAAGTTCAACTTACCCGGAATCTGAGAGGAGAAATATGCATTGTAACATATTGTTTCTTCTTTCTCTGTCTTTTCTATCGAAATGAAATGAATAGATCGGTATTGGCTTTGCAGAGGGGAAGAGGTAAAAGGAAAACACTCAGGGTGCGTTTGGTTGGGCTGGAAATGAATGGAATGGAAAAGTCCAAATCTTATGTTTGGTTGGATCATAGACCTCAGAATACCTCTAACGGAATTGTTTTTGGACCTTCTAGGGGACAGTTTATTTTCTATATTCATCTATAATTTTAAATTATGATTCATAGTTTTTTATAATATTTTTTCTCATAAAAAATACACATAAAATGAGAATGATTCTGAATCATGAATCTGAATACATGAACCAAATGTAATCTTAATTGAATCATCATTCCTATGAGAGGTGAGTGGAATACCAATTCCATTGGTTAATTAAGGCTCGTTCATTTTACTGATTTAAGTTTAGAATTTGAGTTTTAAGCTCTTAAAAACAGTCACATTTAACTTTTTTGTTACAGCTAAAAGTTCTCATATGAAATCACATCTCAACACGAATTAAAAACTCGAATCAACAAATTAAACGGGCCCTAAATTATTTTCCATGACTGCCCTTCACAAATTTCACAAGAAACCCACCTAAATAGGACTGTACATAAATCCAAACAACCTATAAATTTAACCCATCTCACTCTAACCTAACATAAAAAAGCAATTTATAACATTATTTTTTAGTTTTCGGCCCACTAAATGTCTGACTTGAGATGTTTAGAACGGTTTATGAGTTGGGCCTATAATAATCCACATACCTAACATAACCCGCACAAACATGTTTAATAAAGAGCCTATGAGTGTGAATTGATAATGATAGTTGCTGTTGCAATGCTTGTTTTGGATAAATTTGAATTAAAATTCTAATTTATGTTTATTTTATGTTTGATATTAGATAGACTACTTTACTTCATGTTTAATATTGAATTAAATTTTAAATTACTATCTATTTAATGATAGATTAATCAATATTATTTTTATTTGATAATAAACTGTTAGAGTTATGTTTGATTATTAATATTATTTTTATTTCATAATTAATATTATTTAATAATAAATTTGAATGTTAAAATTATTACTTTTATTAGACAATAAGCTTTAAAAGTTAAATTGAACTTTGATACATAAACCTGACCGTCTCATTCCAATCCAACCTATACTTATTAAATTGTGAAATTTGTCTAACGTCGAGATTAAGGCTCCGTTGATTTTGCTGATTTGAGTTTAAAATTTGAGTTTTATTACAGTAAAAAATTTTTATAAATAATCACATTTAATTTTTTTATTACAATAAAAAATTTTCACATAAAATTAAATCTCAACTCGAATTAAAAACTCAAATCAACGAACTAAACGGTCCTTAAATATGTATAACCCGTTCCTTTTGGGGCAGAATACGAAAAAATTTTATCCCGCACCAACCCAACGATTGTACAGGCCTGCACCTAGACGTCCATTTCACTACTCGGTTTACGATCTCCTTCAACATCACCGTCCCGGTTATCTCATCGGTAGGTTCGCCAGCGAGCTTCGCCGGAGATGCCTAATTTTCTTCTTCTCTCACCTATCTCTAACGTCTTCTCTCTGCTCACTGTTATCGGTCAACTCCTTTCTGTTCACTCACTCCGCCGGCAATCCGAGTACAGCACCACCAGAAGAAAAGATGGCAAAGGAAGGAAGTATTCAGCGCAAAGCTGCTTGAGAGATAAAAGGCCGTTGCCTTTGTTATTAAGCTTCAAAATCTAATTTGTGGGTCTGCAAAGACGAGGAGATAAGATCTGGAGCCTTTTGTTTTAGTTTTTGTTGCTTTCTTTTCCTTTCTTTTCTTTTCTTCTTTTTTTTTTTTTTTTCCCCTTTCTTTCTTGCTGAATAATCAGATCTGGAGCTTGTGAAGGAAATGTGAATTCCTCACTGCAACTAAACGCACGTTATAGCCTTGAAACGACAACAATCTTTGTAGGAAAACGTATCTCGGTAGAAACAAAACACATGTTTTTTACGCAAGTTGGTCTTATTTTTCTCAAAAATCAGGACTCGGGAGGAAGAGTAAAGTGAGCTTGTAGGTTTTTAATTAAAGTTTCGAGTCGTTTAGAGGGAAATGCCGTGTCGTTTTTCTGTAAATTCTGCTGTCAATTTAGTTTAGACTGATATTAATTATCGTTTAGAATTTCCGTCGTTTTTTTTTTAAAACATCGGTTATAAATTCATATGTATATATATCATTTAGCATTTAAGAGTTTGCTGCCTTAAAAAGGTTTTATTTAAAGAAAAAAAAAAAAACAAATAGTAAAACTTAAAAAATGAGGAAGAATCGTCCTTTGGATCGTAAACGACATTTCAAATGTCTTCTAATTATGATGTCTTCGCTATCAACAATGAACAAGCACGTTGCCCTTTATGCCCATAATCCTACCATAAAACGAGACATGTCGAAATGGTTTTCATAACAGGAATTTTAGACTTGTAGGGCCCGTGAACGTACGATATTTATTCGCAAAATATAAGGTTTACTGCTGATCTTTTATTGCGGGAAGTTGAAGCTAAAATGGAGCTGCAAAGCTCTACCAGAATCAAAATGTGAATTATCTAAGCTTTTGTACGAAGAGAAAATATACAACTAGCTTGAATTGAACTTCACCATGTTTACCAAACAAACAACTAAAAATCCAACAAGGCGTCCAAAAAAACCTCTAATCTGTCATCTTGTATACCTAAAGAAGCCCACAAAGCAACTCAGATGCTGGCCAGTATAGTGATCATTTACATTAGATGCACCCAATGGCACCTGGGCATCCCTTACAAAAGTATAATCTCTCACGTATTATTTCAATCTTCCAGAATCAATGGTTCAGACCACAGTGAAAGCCGACTGTATGGTGGATGTAACCCGTGATGCGAGAGTCTGCGTGGCAAATTGTTGGATCTGCTTCTTTGCATCTGAGATAGAAAAGAAGACATCATTTGGATTAATGCAATTACAAAGAAAAGCACTGTAAAGTATCAGACACGATCAGTTTCCACACCTTTGCGGCATTTTGTAAAGCCGACAATGTTCGCTATGCTGAGGGTCAAACAAACTCCTACCACCAGCAGATAGTCAGCTTGAAACCTTATGAGAGAGAATATTCCAAGCACAATCCACGCAACAGCCTGTAGAGTACAAGGTGCAAAAAACAGACGTTATAACAAATGGGAACAAGTAATCTAGAAGTATAATAATCTAGACATGCAAGATTTAGCTAACCTACAACTAGATGAGTCCTGGTTACTAGTTCCTACAAGCAAGAAATTCTTTAGCATCATGCGCTGAATCTATTCCTCATCTGGTATCTTATATGATACTTTAGCTCTAAACTCCTTTTTCACATTCATTTATGATTAAGCACATACTTGTTCTTGTTAGATCTCTATAAAATGAAATTGGCAGTTTATAATACGCCAAAATGAGTCATATTTGCTTACCGTAAGGTAAAGTGTCCACCAAAACAGCCATGAATCTTTCTTGTTCATCCGGGCCAATGACTAAAGCAAAATCAACTTGGAGTTAGCTTTAAGAATCAAACAACAATGGAGCTAGTAATGAATATTTTGAGTCAGTTCAAAAGAATAATAAATGATATTAGCTGTCCGCCCAAGGAAAAATAAATTGATACAATTCAATAGTAACTGGAAACACTAACCTCTTGGTCAAGGCATTCAAATTTCCACACACTCTCACCAAGATCATTTATTTCATTCCACCACCTCAAACCAACTAAAATACGGCCACTCACATTCTTGACCACCCAAAAATCAAGAGCAGCGAGAAGAACAGTCACCACGAAAATGATGACGAAGCTATCGAAAAAGAGAGCAGAGAGTATGTAAAAAGCCAATGCTCCAGCCTGCCCCCCCCAAAAAAAAAAGCATTATAATATATTATATAGAAGATTTTTCAGAAACAAATCTAAAAAGATGCTTAAGTCATATATACAAGACCTTGAACAGAACATGAAAGAAGCACGTCTTTGGATTGGCATAGTTCTCCCCCACAGGCTGCAAATAAGATTCATTCATCATTCCATATAAAAAACCATGTTGGAATAAGAAGAATAACTTCCACACGCAAAAATTGATTTCATTGCATTTCCTAATTTTGTCAGCAACCAAAAGAAATAACGTTTAAATCTCAACAAGTTTCATCGCTGGAGATCTGGGATTGAAGCCATGCCAGCTTGCTAAATATGCAAATTTCGTTTCCTTTATATATATATATTTCTTTGGACAAGTATGAATAAGTTACATATGCATGGATCTCTAAAAGTACAATGGGTTTCGCTTTACACTAAGCCATTTATTTAATTATTTGTTTAGATTTACCGTAAATCCTTTCAAGAACCAGAGGGATGATTTTCTGATGACTCTTTCTTTCACACAATTTTCTAAACCATAAAAAACATTGCAGCTAAAAACCCCAAAAGAACAACGACGACGACGAGAAATGAAATTTACAAATCTAAATCCATTTTATCCATCAAAACAATAATCTAGTAATTAAGACGGCATTTAACCCATGTAAATCACAAAATGCAAAAACATACGCACCACCCAATAACTTTCTTTCGTTGCATGTCAATCTTTCCTAAAACCAAAATGAAGAATTAACTTAATTTCTGTTCTTCTTTAAAATTTCTTACCAACCAAACAAGTACGCCAAGCTCCTAGGTCAATCGAAATACCAGATCCATTCTTAAACCCAAAAAGAAAATACGATCAAATTGTTTAAACCCGAGACAACTACTAATTTCTAAACAAACACACAATAAGAAAACATCATAATATGCATCGATTTCTGAGAGCAAAAGCGTAGAAAATCACGTATCAGCGTAAACCCCTAAAATCTAGCACGAGAGCAAAGGGAATTTGGAGGTGGGAACCGAGTCAACTCACCTGGTTGAGATCCATTGTTGAAATCTGACAGAGTCGACAATCTCCGGCGACGATCCAAAGCTTTTTGGTGTGAATTCAAGCTAGGTTTTGGTTATGGAGATTCAACATCTACAGATTAATAGATCTTTCTTCTTTGCAGAAGAATGGCTCGGGCCTGTTTTTATTATTATGCCTTGGAAAGTAGTCAGGGTGATTTTGAGATTTTCTAAAAAAAGTCCCCAAATTTCTGTGAAATTCTTGGCGATTCTTCTTGTTTAGGAAATTTGACATGTTTATCCCTTAAATTTTTTGAGATTTGGTAAATTACCCCTAAAAATTTTAATTTTAGCAAATTACTCTATGAATTTAATGAAGCGTCGACCAACATTGTTTTGACAGAAATGCAATTGTACATGTCAGATAGGCTCGTTTAAGACAGATATTAAAATTTTAGGATCCGTTTGATAAATAGATTCAAAACGTGATTTTTTGAACGTTTTTAGTTTGAAATTAGAAGTTTAAAAAATATGATTTGAACTTATAGTATGAAATGATGTTCATGGATGATCGGTTTGAAAAGGGAGTGAAATCCGAAATTATGGTTGGTTTGTGTATAAAATTTTAAGCTAGTTGCATTATAAAACTGAACTTTTGAAATTAAATTCACTGTGCAAATTAGGTTCAAAGTTTTGAAATCAAGGGGACGTAATTCGGAAAAATGGACCCATTTTGGATTCAAACAATCAAAACAGAGTTCAAAATGGGCCTAAAAAACCTTATCAAACACAGGCTCAGCTACTATTTTGAGTCCAAAATGGTTTAATCACTTTACTAAACACGATAATGATGCACTTAAAGTCACATGTATGAGGGTCTTTTCTTTATTTCAATATCTTTTATCAATTTATGAGCACTCTATCATGTTTTATTAAATTCAGAAGATTATTTATGAAAATTAAAAATTTAGGAGCAATTTATTTCTTCACTAAAAATTCAAGGACAAATACGCAAGAACCTTGTCTAAAGGGCCAAACCCGCTTTGTTGTCTCTTTTTGCCTAAACCGCACCGTTCTATCTATAGCATAACAAGATTCTCGACTGTTTTTTGCTCACTAAAAAAAGAAAATGAGATGAAGCGGACTAATAAATTAAGCTCATGATGAGTGAAAATTCTGTAGTCTGTAAGATTACAACACTGTTTCTGAGCTTGTGTCACGCCCCAAAATATGAGTTAGTGATGTGAAGACTCGTTTAGAGATTAAACATGATTAATAGAGTATTTAAACATTTAGAAATATAATAATTGAGACTAAAAGTAAAATATAAGGAAATTTCTAAACAAGCCCCACATTTTGCTAAAATTAAATTACAAGAAAGTTATGGAGACTTTCACACTTTTTAAAAAACAAGTTTTAAACTAAGCTTCCGGCATCATTCAGGGTTCTACCCACATGATATACAATATTATATATACATGAACATGTAAATATCATTTACAGACATCAACCACAGTCTAAAGATGTAAAGTTTACATTCTAAGAGTTTACAATCCTTACATTTGTACACAAGGATGAAAGAGTGCAATGTCCTCACTTGATCAGACGGTAGCAACTAATTCAGCTACTCTGCACTGCTTCTAGTGTCGCCTGGGAGGAGTTTAGTATTTATAAAAATAGAAGAAAAACGTGAGCAAAAGGCCCAGTAGGATGAATTTTAAGAAAACTTTATAAACAAGTAAATAAATAAATAAGTGAGTAAGTAAATAAAGATATTCAGTTCCAACACAACAGTCGTAACCTAGCATCTTTTTTCTAAAATGAAATATAACTTAAAAATTCCGTATTATAGGCATCAGCAAGTAATTTATACTAAGATAAATTACTTACACAACCACAAGCATAAGCCTTATCACCACCGTAGTAGCCCGGTCCGGGTTCCACCCCCAAGGATACACTCTCCATATTCTATCTAAGCCATCAGCGGGCTTACCGGTTCGCAAGATATCTTATCTTAAGAAAATATTCATTAAACCTTTAAAACAGTTCATTATGATTCCAATAGCTAAAATCAAGCTATTGTGTTAAAATATTTTTCTTTCGCAAACATGTCTTTTCTTTAAAACATTTGCAAGACTAAAACTCTTAAAAACAAGCTATCAAAGAAAATGACAAGAAATCTTAACTCTTAAGCACCAAACTTGTGGCTAGCATTGCGCTATCCTAGCATCCGCTCCCTCGAAGCCTTCAATTCGATTCCTCAGCTAGCATTATACAAAACAACGCTTTGGGATTCAATTCTCATTCCTAAAGCAAATCAATCCTAATTATACACTTTGATTTCCTATTAGTGTGCCTTAATCCAATTCTAAGTTTCATAAATCATTTTATATTTCAAATAATCATTTCAAGGGTTTTGATCTCAAAACATGGATTAAAGATGCTAATCCATCTACTTTAGGTACCCAAATGAAACTAATTTGGGTTCTCTTTGAAAATCATGGTCAAAACAACATTTTAATACAAAACATATTCAAATCACGTGTACACCTGTTGATCGGTGACAAAGAAGTTATTCTTCACCGGTTGGCTGGTGAAGAGAAAACCGGTCGACCGGACCTGGGAGCTGGACAGCTCAACCAACATGGTCGATCCGAAGAAAATCCGGTCAAAACCTGCAAATCCGAGTTCAAATCCGAGGTATTTTCAAAGGAATTCAACAAATCCAGGCTCCAGACTACAAATTAAGTCCAAAGAACCAAAAATTCCCAAATTTCCATTAGAATTTAACCAAAATCCATCAAAATCCATTTCGAACTAAAAACAAGTTTTTCTAATGGTAAAAGTCAAGATTTAAGATAAGTTTTTCAGAAATCTTACCTCAAATCTTTCTCTTGACGTTGAAAACTCCTTGAAGTTCTTCTTTTGTTCAAAATTCAGAAGAAATGGTGACAAATTGAACAAGAGAGAGAGAGAGTGAGAGGAACGAGAGAGAGAGAGAGAGAGAGAGAGAGAGAGAGAGAGAGAGAGAGTTACGGGAGGAAAAGAAAAGATGGAAAAATAAAGAAAAGAAAAAGGAAAAAGACAAATATCAAAGATATTTAGGAAAACATATCAGAAAATGTGTCTACACACAATTCTGAGGTGAAAATATAAATATTGACAATATTTAAATCCCTTGAAAATATTTAAATTTACACATCAGAAACATTTAATAAACATAATTATTTAATTAAATCAAATTAGGCACACTAATAAATCTTAATTATCTTAATTAATCATGTTTAATTTCTTGATGTGTTATAGCTTGAAAGGTTAAGTTTGTGTTATGTGTTTATTATAGATATCACTTTTGTTCATTATTAAATCACAAATCATAATTAAGGGGTAAATAGTCATCACCTTAACATACATTTCAAGAGTTATTTAAGGTTAAACATTGGCCAATTAAGGTGGGTTTTCAAAGCTTTTTTTTTAATCAAAACTGGACTAGAATAAGTAGATTTAAGGGAACTAATAGAGAATATGTCAATATGAAAAGCTTAAGAAAGTATATAGGCTAATTTTTAGTTATAAAATTTAATAGGCCATACTTTTTGAATTTCGAAATTTACCCTTTCTTTTTTTTCCTTTTTCTTTCGGTCGTCTCTGTGTGTCTCTCTCTCTTAACTGTACCCACAGCTCTCTCTCTCTCTAGCTTGATACAGCTCTTCACTGGTGCAGATCTCTGTAACTGCGCTCGATTTTCTCTCTCGTCGGTGGATCATCGGTTTATCATTTTTTCGTCGGTTGGTCGTTCTCTTTCTCATTTGTATTTGCTCTTCTCCAGTCGTCTTTGAGCAGTTGTTCTGGTGATTTTTACCGAACAATAGGTTTGTGTATTCTTGGATTCTAGTTTTATTTTTGTTGTATTTTTGTTTTCATATTTTGCATTATTTTGGTTCGCTCTCTCTCTTTGTCCATTAATCCTGTTTTTTTTTTTGTTGTTGTTCGGTCGTTTTTTGAGCAGTTCCTCTGGTGATTTTCACATTTTCCCTTTTGTAATATTTTTAGGATTGAATATAGCTCTTGTAATTTAATGATTTTTGTAGGCATACAATTTATTTTAGTCATTGACAGTATTTTTTTATTACTTGTCCGGTTATGGAACATAACTTGACGAGTTATGGTCCACAATTGAGATGTTTTTTACATAACTTGTCCGGTTATGCACTTTAACGTGACAGTGTTCCTACAATATGTTTGTAGGCAAGCAATCTGTTTCAGTCATTGTTGCTTATAGGGGAAAATGGAGTCTAGAAAACCAATATACAAATTTTGGTTTTCAATCAGTTTTTATTGCGGAGGATGCTTCTTTGAAGTTTTTACAGGAGTGTTTATGTGAGGAGCTGCATCTTGAGTTGATTGGTTTTAATGCTGGTGTTCATTCTTTATTACTTTTTATGGGACGGAAGTTAAAGGACCCAATTGAAATGGTCTCGGAGCTAAAGAGGGATGATGATGTTAAGTTGTTTTTAAACTTGGTTCGACACAGTAAGGAAGCTCTTGGATACCCGTTGGTAATAAATTTTGTTAGTAGCTCCGTTAGTGCAGCGGGATCTACTTCTTCTTTATCTTGTTTTATGAGTTTAAGATGAGGCATCTTCTTCTAATGTTGATGGTTCCGTTTGTCAATTTGAAGATGATATTGATGTTGCAATGGATAATATTTTGATTGAAGATTTGGATATTTTAAAGCTGCCTATGTCGTTTGATGTGAATGTAGGCAATTAATTCATGAGCAAGTCGGTTCTCAAGAAACTCATGCATGTAATTGCTATTAGGAGGCATTTTGAGTTTAAATCTGAAAGATCTAATAATTCATTTTATGTTTTGGTTTGTAAGAATAAGAATTGTACTTGGAAGATGCGCGCTGCTAAGGTTTCAAATGGTAATGTTTGGTCAGTGAAGAAGTATGTTAAGGAACATACTTGTTCACTTGATGTTGTTAATGCTGAGCATTGTCAAGCAAATAGTCGTGTTGTTTCAGAGTTTTTAAAGGGCGATTTTAGCATTGGGCTTGCAGACCGTTTGCGTCCTAATGATTTGAGGTCTATAATGCATGGTAAGCATGGTGTCGAGATTAGTTACTACAAAGCACGAATGGCTCGCCGATACGCGTTAGCATCATTGAGAGGAAGTGCAGTGG